ATTTAACATCTCCTACACGTGTTAATGCATAGATGACAAAATACATATTACTCGGCACAGAAAAATAACATGATCTTTCTATGCATGTAAATATATATTCTTAAAGCCAAAATTATATTTGGCAGTGTTTGATATATTGTAACATAATCTACGAATTAATCTGAACGAAAATTGTTGATATATGTCTAAGCTAGTCTAATATGCACCACATACACTTGGCTCGATACTTGGCTGGAAAGATTCAAGCTTGGACTTCTGATTCGCGCATTTTAATTCGTCGCGACACACGAGTGACACAAGAAGACACGACTATGTAAATGGAAGCTCATTGCAGTTTAAAAATAGATTCACTGTATCTTCGCTTGATCTTTTTCTCCTACCCACTTTGTTTGCTATTTTTCTTTTTTCACGCGCGTAAACGCCGTTTTCATACGTTACAAAGGTTCGTTTTAATTCTTTATAATTTAGTATAATTTTAAAGCAATAAATAATCACTTCTGTGCTTGAAAAATAGACAAAAATTCAAAATTAATAATTATTGATCGTTATTAATTATTTCTATTTGAAAAAGAAGCTTTACATTATTTTAATCATAGAATACAACGTTTACCGTCTTTTATCGTGTCTTATCAGCAACCTTGACTATCTTGGCGATCGTTAAAACATGTATGATTTGCCAGTGACTATTCATCATTCGTTCTTTTTTTATTGCTTGAATTTTGCAGTTGAAGAACCGCATGAGAACAAATATAAATAATATCTTTTTTGTTGTTATTAATATTTCTCAAACATTAGCATTTTATATTTCAAACAGATTTCTATTATTATAATACAACTTCAATATAATTAATTTCTAGTACGTATGTGACTATCTAATACCGTGTATGTAATGCTGATGTTTTAGTAATACCTAAATATAATCCTAAAAGTTCAATACGCATAATTAATCGGCTGTGTGTAAAGTATCAGGTTTCAGGTTTCTATCATAATACTTGACGGACAAAAATAGAAAATTATTTTGCAACTTTCATTTATTTACAACAATTCGCTCGCGAGAACAACAATAACGATTACTCGTTACGCGATTTTTGATGTTACTCCAAATTTTGTGAAGTTTCGTAAGTCTTGGAAACATAACCGGAATCTTTAGTGCGAGATCTTGCGCGAAATAGCAATTCATTGGATTAATTTTATGATGAAGATATGTTTCGTATCTAATGTTGAAGGATAACTGTATATTTTAAGATAAATCATTAGACGATTTATCGAGGCTTACAATAGATATTTGAATAAAACCTTTTCAAATCTATCTCGTCTAAATTTCTTTTTCTATGAAACACAACTTTTGTATCTCAAGATTATATTCTTTTTTATATAACGTTTCCATTTTTCACGAAAATCTACTAAAATATAATCTATGCAACTTCAGATTTTTTATTTTAAGTTCAACTAAAACAGACAGACTTTGCAAGCAAATTCGTTCATAATATATGATTAAACTATGTGATCGTATGCTCGACTAAAAAATTGGTTGAAATACTTGCTCGAAACTCTTGGCACGATGATTGACTTATCGTGCCAAGAATGCACGAGCCCCCTAGTAACCCTACGTCGGCTGCGATTAATTTTCGAACTTTTTCAAAATATGTTTCAATTTTATTATAATTATAATAATTCATTCTCATAATTCTGGCGATGGCTATATTTCTTTACAGATTTCTCGTTATTAAATTGCAGAAAATTTTAGTAATAAATAAACGTTTAATAAATTTAAGATAAAAAAAAATGCAAAATTCAAAAACACATTATTTTCTGCGTAATTAATTAAATTTAAATTATCAGATTTATATATTAAACTTTCTTATTCTATTAATTTAGTAGATGTTCAATTTTATATTTTATAGTTTAATTAAATAATTGACGCGTAATACAAAGAACAGTAGATTTTGACAAGTAAGACGATATTTATAAAATATTAAACTTTAATCTTTTTCAATTTAAAATTATTAAATATTTTTCAAAATCTATACATGTCACTAAGCATTATATAATAAACCAAGAACAACTTACAGCGCGAAATGTAACAACCTTCATATAGTTAAAATATATTTTTAATTTTCATAATTTAAACCATATTTAGTAGAAGATTGCAAGCAGAAATTGACCTTTGTCGGCATATTTGACGGCACAAATAGTACAATCGATCCCACTCGCGATAATATCGAGAAACACCGGTTTATTTTTAAACGAGTCTTGCTAATGCGCTCAAGCAGAGGTGCGTTATTTACCATCTGCTGAAACAGAAAAATATTATCTTTTATAGCCAGCGAGCAAGAGAGAAAAAAAAAAAAAAAAAAGAAATTGGTCTGCGTTTTACTGAAATTCCGTAAAATTCGAAACTAAAATCTCGCAAAAAAAAAAAAAAAAGAAAAGAAAAGAAACGAAATCATTTAATTATTAAATCAAACTTAATTTAGTTTAATTTAATTCAGTTTAATATTGATTTTCACCGGGAATATATACAGAATGCTTCGTATAATAAGGCTACCGTGTAAGAAAAGAGTTATTTGTGAGTATTCTACGAGTTGCTGCGATGTTTGCGCACCGCTGCGCCGGAGGAATCACCGCAGTCACTACGTGCTCAATTTCCTGTTGACCTATTTATAACGCGTCGGAGAAGCCGCGGCATACTTCTCAAGGTCCCGGACTGCTCGACTGACTTCTGGTGCACAGGTAGTTCCAGCGCACAGAGTCGCGGCATCTGCCATAACCGCGGATCCGCGAATGCGCAAAATTGCAGATCGCACGAAAGGAATATCGCGAAACTAGGGCAGCTTTCCGGCCATTTATGCCGACCACCGTTGCGCGTGATATAAGTAGATCGATAGAGAGACACGTGCATATAAATCTCTCTCCTTGGCAAAATGCGGCATCACGCTTTCGACCCAGCGAATTTCGATCGATTCCCGCAAAATCGTTACACGATTCTATCTCGAATCAACAAGCCGAGTCTCGTGATGATTTGCTGTTAGAATAAAATCATGCAACCAGAGCGCTATAATTTGTTTACTTCCATTTGCAAGGCTGCTGTCCCAATTCAAATTGCTATATATAATATCTTGTATGTTTTATGTATTACATTTATTTCGTATTATTCTATTCGAGGAACATTTCTCTCTATCTGAGATTCTAATAAATATTTAAACAACTGAGATGTCTATTTTTTCGCAGTTTTATGTCAATTATTTTCAAAAATATATTTTACTACTGGTATTAATTAAATTTTAAGATCTGAAGAAACTAAAATCACACTCAAGAAAAATTAAGTCAAGGATAAGACCCTACGATAATTATGTGTGCTCCTGATCGCTGCAAATACACACAATGATTTACGTAAGCTGCCGTGACATTATTCTGAAGTCGCAACGTCTTCTGCATTCGCAAACGTAATACGTACTTACAATACGACCATGAAATTTGATAGAAAAGTGCAATGTGTAGTAGGTACCTATACTACATTATATTCAAATAAGTTACACTTTTTAAGATATTTTTTCAACCACAAAAGAAATTTTTTTATCATCTAATAAAATAGTTGTAATTTAGAACCGCTGACCTGTTGATGAGAAACATTCTCTATAATTTTTGACTTTTCGTGATAGTAATCAATAGATCAATTTTACGCTTTCGGGGCAAAACAGAGTGGATTTTTTATTTGTTCGCGATTTTATCAAGTATTTTATTAACACTCTATTTCCTCATTTCAACATATCCATGTAGTAAATGTTTGCGTTATCTTTATCTTCGTAGCTCTATACTGCGTTAATTATACATCGCTCGTATAATTTAGAATCGCTGAATAATGAATTGGAAAACACCCTTCTCCGCAATTTTCCTTCGTTTCGCGAGTGATCGACAGAGTTTAATGGTTGAAAGATCAAGGAAAATGAGGATTTTGATGAGTGTGACAAAGAATTAATGTAGTAAAGGTTCCCGGAAAGCTATATGTCGCGATAAAAAGAACTTTCCCGATCGTTCATTATCGGCGCGATTACGAGCAGAATTAATTTCACGAAGCTATACGTTCGCGTGCTAGCGAGCAAGCGTATCTAATCTCTATCGAGATATCAATCTGCGAAGATAGCACATTCCATAGAACGAGATACGAGGGAGAACATCCGTTTCGAATAAGCGATTGTTGTTTAGGAACAATAGCGAGAATTAAGCGGAAGCGCGTGCCATTCGAGAGAAAAAGTTTCTAACGAGTTGCTAATGAGTTCAAATATATATTTCAAAGTATCTAATAGCATCATCGGTCTTCTAGATGAACGATATTACTCGGATTTTTATTTTTCTTTTTTTTCATTCTACAAAATAAAAATGGAAATTTAATAATAGGCTTATTAGATGCGAGAAAAACCTAAGTCATGCAATATTTTGAATTTTATGTCAATTTAATGAACCATGCAAATATATTAATGGATAATTATATAAATATAAATTTATTTATAAAATGTAGCTTAACTCACATGTTCTATCATAATAGTGGCAGTATTGCTTATTATGCGATTAAATAAACTTTTTAAATAAATGTTTGATATTTTGTTGCATTTCAATAAATATAATTATTTCATTTATGCTTTACAAAAAAAAAATAATTTTTTAGACTATACAAAAATAATAATAAAACATCTTTGTATTTTAAAGCAAAATTTGATGCGATGAAAACTCAAAATAGGACGCGTTCCTTACGTATCCGCATAATATCTCTGCATAATGTAATATGCTTCATACAATGAGCTTCACAAGCATATATTGTGCGTTCCATATCCACCACATTAAATAAATTTTGCATTAAATTGCACGAATATATTTCAACGATAATTTAAATCGTATGTAAGTTCTACTTAATATTTTTATTTTGCATCAGACTAATCGTTAATTTTGTTTCTATATATTTTCTTATTGCATATATTTTCTTTAATTAACCATTGTCTTACCTTGTAAACCTCCGAGAAGAAGCCCGCGCCGATCTTCTCCATGTAAAAGTCGTCCAGGCGATTCAACGAGGCGACGGCGTGCCTGAGCGCCTGACAGGATGCTCCGGTGCGCCTCTTCGAGCTCGTATCCTGAAACATCTCGCCCGAGCATATTGTCAATCCGTGTATCGCGCCACCCTCCGTCATCTCCGTGGGTCGCCAAGAAAGATCGCGACACTTCTCCTTGTAGCTCCTCGATAAGGATGTGGACGATTGCAATTCCGTGGGGAGATCCTGCGGCGCGCAGGACACGCAATTCTGTTGCAGCGTCATTGCGTCGCTGCAGACTTTGCTAGACGACATCCAGTCCTTGGACGGTGTCGAGGTGACGAAGTCATTGACACAGGAATCGTCTTCGCAGGTCACGGTGGTGATCGCAGAATCGCCGGCGCCGTCTTTCACGTCGACTATCCTTGGCGCCGGCTTCTGATGCACATACAACAACTCGCTTACAGTTGACACGTTAGATGCACTGTTTGCGGAATAACCCGCGCACGTATCTACTAAGAGATCCTCGTTGTTGGATCTCTTTCCGCCTGGCAAGTGATTAATTATTTCAGAAGACGTCGCGGAAGATAATTTGGCGGCGTATGCTTGAGAGCATTTGGATTGCTGCTCGTTGCATGTAGTTCTGCCACCGCCTGTCGGCTGCTCTTTGCCACTCGGAGGCTCTCGGCCAGCGGCAACAATCTTCTTCACGGTTTTCATACAGTCTCTTGTGCACGATTCGACGTTGAGACTTCCAGTCGAGGCAGATTGCGGTCTCCGCGACCTGCCGGTCTTCTGGAGAATCGGACAATTCTGACCAGAGGTGCACTTTTGCGTCGCATTGGCATGATTCCTGCCCATCTGCGACGCTGCTTCCTTGGGCGAACATTTGGCCGAGATCTTGGAGCAAGCGCTGACGCAAATCGTCGTTGTCGTCACGTCGGTCCTGCAGGATCTAGGAAGCTCTATTGTGACGGGTGAGGTGTCCGTATGACTGGTAAACGGTTGCAGAGAATTACAAGGAGCTTCGGAGACTACCGCGGCAGCGTCATCGACGTTTTCCTTCGTCTGTCGCCAGAATCTTGCTTTATCATCGGCGCCCAACGTCGACGTCTCGTCCGCCGAAAAGCACGGCAGACACGACGTCGTGCTCGTCGTTGTCATCGTCGTCAGCCTAGCGCACGATTTGGCTGACGCTTGGCCGCCATTATTATTAGGCGGACCCGGCGTGTTCGACGGCGGCACCTTCCCGAACATCTTCGCCGTTATTGCGACGAGACGGTCGCGCAAACTGACGCGAAACAGCAGCGGCGGCCCTGCGTGCGACGCATCACACGGGGCCGGCTTGAAGATGCGCCTCTCGATCTCGGTCGTCACGGCGTCGTCCTGTCGTATCCAAGTGATGAGAAAAGTTGTAGATTGTAGATAGCCGCAAACGAATACGAAGACGACCTAGGATGCGTTGAGCGTATTCAGATGATAGAGGTGATGCAAAGTTCTGTGCAATGCGCAACGTCTTTGCACACGGTGGTCAAGATTAATGTATATAGTTAACGAATCGAGTTCGCGATCTGGTCAAAAGACCTCTTCAAAGAACTCGATGTCGTAGCGGCAGAAGAATCGATCCTCCTTTACTTTCTTGTGTGCGTCGAATATACTTCAAAGGAAGTTTAAGGAAGTCGAGAGTCCTTTTGGTCGGTTAAAAACATTGGAATCCGCGGAAGACGTAGAACGATTTCGGTGTAAACGATGAAATATATTTCTGGTACAACGTGGAAGACACTCGTCCTCGACGAATGGACACTGGAAGGCGAAGGAAGTAAAGACGAAAACGCAAGTTCGCGATCGACGCAAGTTTGAATCCTTTTTTGGCAGTGGCGTCACACGTTGAAATCACAGTCGGTCGGTCACAGGTGAACGTTATCCTCGGAGAGACGCGCAATGCGATCCAAGATAACGTCACAGATCCAAAGCGAAGCGTAGGAAGACCGCGACACCGGAACTTGGCACGCTTCTTCTCTCCTCGTCGTCGGCGGACGACTTCTCGCGGGCTGATTCAGATCTTCCTGAAATAAAGTTGCATCCGACCGATGATTGGCGAGTGTCGAAAACTCTGGCGAACGCTGATGTTATAAGAAAGATGCGTACGCAAAATTTAATATACGCATTTCTGACGTCTAGAAAGCATACTTGCAATTTCAACTTTTAAAATGTATTTGAAAAATCTTTTGTACAATGTCAGACGATACCTAAAGTGGTAACGGATTTCTATCATTTCGAGGCATTGACAATGTGATGCAATCGTGTCTCTAAAGACTATAAATTATAAATTATTAAAATATTACAATTCATGTGGCAAATAATCACATTTTCACACGCAATAAACATCACACAAATTGATCATAGATTGACATCGAAATTTTGCCATCTTTTCGCGGGACTTTTAGATTTGCCAGAGAACGTAACAAGTAACGGAAAAAATATATTATAAATTGTTATTAATTGTTATTAATAAGAATATTACAACATTTCATAACAGTAATGAATAGCACATGTCAAAATATTAGGCAATACAATATTTCGCAAAATAAATATTTGATTGTCTAATATTTTCAATGAAATAATTAATGATTTTATAAATTCGATATTGGATCAAATGAAAATTACCTTACAGAGGTTTTTTAAATTATTATAAGTCTTGAAATTAATTGTAATTAACATTACATCACAAAATTACAAGTTCTTGTAGAAAATAAGCAATTATAATCGTATGAGATATAATTAAACTGTTAATTATTACTAATTATCGTTGACTATTTTTGTTGTTTACTTGTTTCGTAATTTCAAATTACTTTATGCATCATTTTTATTGCATAGTTTAAATTTTATGTTTGTCGCATAATAATGATCGTATTGTCACGAATATGATGCCGATTTAAATTATAAAGTATAAATTATAAACAACACATTGATACATATTTTAAAAAATTTTGTTATGAAATTTAATAATTTACATTAACTCAGGATGTTATATCGCATCAGCAATCTTTATGGACTATTTATCCATTCATTGTTGCATAATATTGATTTAAAATAAATGAAATCCACAACAATAACAAACATGAAACATCACAATTGCCTTTATAGAATATATAATAATGTAATATGCATAAAATTCTAGCTAATTTGCAGTTAATTCTTTCTCAACAAAAATGATCACACATTAATGATTTTTGTAAAATAAGTAATTGTATGTGTGTGTGTAATAAAATATTTGTCAAAAATTAAGCTTTAAGAAAACAAATAGATATTATAAAAAATCATTCTTTTCAATTGATTTTAAGTAGATTTTTTATTAATAGTTTTAATTTGTGTAACATCTATATGACATCATGTAAATAATATAAAAAATTGCAATAATTTCACGATGAATCAAAAAATCATCGAAAATGTCAAGAGATGTCAACAATGGTAAAATGGGAAATCATCTGCTTTCTATCTCGAGAAAGTTAATTTGTCAGAAATCTCTAACTTTTTTCAACGATTACTCACAAGATTACTGCCAATATCTTGATTAACATAGAGGGAAAAAGTCATTACACCGATCGTGTCGGAAGAAGATAATATTAACGTCGCAAATTAATAAGAATCAAAGAAGCTCAGAGACGAAATGGTACTTACGATGCATCGGATATCGAGGGAGACGTTGTAACACTCGGCGTCTCTCTCTCTCGTCACGTTCAAGAAAGCTTGCGCGGGTATCCCAGGGGTTGAGACGAAAACACCAGGGAAAAGTCTCGCGACACGGTCGCTGACAGCTCTCTCGCGCGGCGTCGCGTGGAAAGCGTCGTTTTGCACCGTCCGCTCGTTCGCGCTCGTGACGTCCGGATGTTTTTAGAATGACCTTGAACCACGTGAGGAAGAATCCGAATCCGCGGTCCTGCCGAACGCAGTGACTCTTGTTTTCCTAGATCCTAGGATCGCGACGTCTATCGACAAGCCGAAAAGAAAAAGAAAAAAAAAAAAAACAAAAACAACGGCCGTTTCTTCACTCGCACACGCTGGTATTCGACGTGTTTATTATCTCTCGACGGTGAGAAGGCGAGGAAGCTCCCGGCGACGACGCCGTTGCGTCAGTGGCGCATCTGCCGCGCGAAGCGTGTTGCTGCATCAGCGGCGTCTCGTCTCGCTTTCGCGAAGGGACAGGACAGGGATAGAGATGGGTAAAGAGACGACAGATCGACGCAACAATTTTCGGATGAGTCGTTGACACTCGTCGCGGTCGATGCTTCGGGTAAACAGACAGACGGATGGACGGATAGGGAGAGAAAGAAAGAGGGAGAGACGGGAGAAGAGATGGTGAGAGAGAGAGAAGGAGAGAAGGGTAGCACACACACCACTATATGATGAAATCCAGTCGCTTGTTTTAAATCGCCGCCGGCGCGAATCAGCCGCGACACGACACGACACGGCACATCGCGCATCCGCGTCACACTCTGAACTGTCACCGTTCTCGTTTCACCCGAGTTTCCGAGACTAATTCGAACGCTATCCGACGTCGTAAGGGCAACTGTGCTCCCGACAAGTACCCGCACACTCACTGACAACGCCAGACGGCGGCCATTACGGGAATGAGTTGCCGTGACAGACGCGCAAACGCCACCGTTCGACGGTAGCCCGAAGTCTCGCTTGTCCCTCCTCCCACTTATCCTCTTGCCCGCATCATCATTCGATTTCGGTCCATTCGATCCATCGTTCATTCGCGGAGGCAGAATGCGCGCCAATTTCGAACACGCGTTTTAAACGCTCTTGATAAAGATAGAAAAGAGTGTTTCGCGTCTTACGCGAATCTCGTTTGCATGATAGTTTTTATGAATGCGTCGAAATGCGAAGAAAGTGGGAATTTAGTCTGTGAAATTGGATCTCTGCTTATCTGGTTTCAAATATATGTACATTTTTTATTTGCCTTCCGCATATTTTTTTTTTATTTGCCAATACATTTAAATTAGAACTGTAAAGCAATTTAAACACTCAAATCATGTCTCAAATCAAAATTTATCTATTCAATATTTTTATTTAATAACTTGCTCCAATTTTTTATCTGCAATTCAAATACGAACTAAAATAACGTAAATTTATATATACTCTGTAGAATATTAACTTCTAATTTTTATCAATATTTCTTAATTCATTCCCTATATTCTTTATTAATTAATAGTTTTATATATTAATTTATTAAATATATTATACAATGTCAAAAATAAAAAAGGAAAAATTATATTATTGTTTGATTAAAATGTATGAAACAACATCGATGAGTTTTTTGCGCGTGAAATAATTTCTATTCCGTTCCGCGGCCATCAAGACGTCCTTGTCTCTATTTCATCAAACGAACGTCTCTTGTAAGACGAAATGAAAGTGTGCGAAGCCTCATATGCATATAAGCGTGCCTTTCACCATCCGAAAGGATAATTGCCATTTGGTCGATGTCATCTCGCAAATAAAATGGAAAGGATGAATTTCTCCAAGTCGCAAATTTCAAAGAATAGAAATTAATAAATTTCTCGTAGAAATTCTGAATAAATTTTGAAAAATGTATAAGATTAATAAATCGTAATCTTCTCGATTACTCGTTGAGATATGTCATAAATTTCTTCGACTCGCTGATATCGATAGTCGCATTAGGTACTTTTATTACGTCACATCCGTCGCATCTCCCACCACGCATTTTTTTCTAATGCTTCTTTATATTCTTTATTCAATGGTATAGTTTAACCACGTGCAACAGAATTATTTAAGGCTGCGGTCGAGAAGACGCCAGAAATGCTTCGAAGCGTTTGATTGACCAATCAGGACACAAAGAATAAAGATTTCTTTATTCTGATTGGTTAATGCAACGCCTCGAAGCATTTCTAGCGTCTTCCCGACCGCAGCCTAAGAGATTTCAACGTGATGGATAAGATTTAGAAATCTTGTACTGAATAGCTGCTTATAGAGATTTGTTTAAACAAAAAAAAAAACACAAAAAACCACGTGCGCGTGATTATTAACAACAATACGTAAGGATGAAGCTTCACAGTAAGTTATTGTAAAATGTATTGTTAAAAGCTTAAATTTTTGCGTGTTTTATAAAAGGAGTAGACAATCTATAGAGGTTATGTATAGAATTTATGCAACAAAATTTTTTTTATATTCCAATTTTCATATTAATTCTAACTTAATAATTAATAACAATTAAAATAAAATGTATATCAATATTATAATACGAATTAATTGTTATCTTTGTTAAGGTTTAATATATTATAATGCAATTCCTAAAGAATTATTTTCTATTTTAATATTTTTATTATTAGATAAAGCAAGCAAGCGCATGCCAGCGCGGAAGAGATATAGAATCGAGAAAAAAGTTCGCGAACATAATCGAAAAATATCTTTATTCTGATTGGTTAATGCAACGCCTCGAAGCATTTCTAGCGTCTTCCCGACCGCAGCCTAAGAGATTTCAACGTGATGGATAAGATTTAGAAATCTTGTACTGAATAGCTGCTTATAGAGATTTGTTTAAACAAAAAAAAAAACACAAAAAACCACGTGCGCGTGATTATTAACAACAATACGTAAGGATGAAGCTTCACAGTAAGTTATTGTAAAATGTATTGTTAAAAGCTTAAATTTTTGCGTGTTTTATAAAAGGAGTAGACAATCTATAGAGGTTATGTATAGAATTTATGCAACAAAATTTTTTTTATATTCCAATTTTCATATTAATTCTAACTTAATAATTAATAACAATTAAAATAAAATGTATATCAATATTATAATACGAATTAATTGTTATCTTTGTTAAGGTTTAATATATTATAATGCAATTCCTAAAGAATTATTTTCTATTTTAATATTTTTATTATTAGATAAAGCAAGCAAGCGCATGCCAGCGCGGAAGAGATATAGAATCGAGAAAAAAGTTCGCGAACATAATCGAAAAATAAAGAAAGAGGCCAAACATTCTAAAAGTAAGTTAATGAACCAATTCTTCAAATATATATGCCTGTATTTACAATTTCTTAATAAGCATAATTTTATTTTTATTCAGAGAAATCCAAGATGATGCAAGTACCAAATCAGTGTCCTTTTAAAGAGGATATATTAAAGGAAATTGAAGCAATGAGAAAACAACAACAGGAAGAAAAACAGAAACAGAAGGAGGCTGCACGTGGGAAAAAACGTGAACAACTTGCAAAGGGTGATCTCAAAGTTTTGGTTAATCAAGCTCAGAATAAGCAATTAGCGCATGAATCTATGCAAATAGATTCTGCTCGAGATCAAATTAAAAATGCTATTACTAAGGAAGAAAACTCACTTAAAGCATATTATAAGGAATTCAAAAAGGTTCTGGATGCAGCTGATATTATTCTCGAAGTTATGGATGCTCGTGATCCACTGGGAACACGATGTAAAGAGGTAAATTCCCAAAACTACTGTAACAAATATAAATAGATATACACTAACTTATTGATTATTTTGTTATAGGTAGAAAAAGCAGTTATATCTGCAAATAAAAGATTGGTACTAGTCTTGAACAAAGCAGATTTGATTCCTAGAGAAAATTTAGACCAATGGTTAAAATATTTGAGAGTTAGTTTACCAGCTGTGGCATTTAAATCGTCCACACAGAACCAAGCAAATCGATTAGGCAGGAGAAAATTAGGAAAGAAAACAGAATCTATGATACAAAGCAATACATGTTTTGGTGCAGAATTACTCTTGTCATTACTTGGAAATTATTGCAGAAACAGTAGCAATGTAAAAACAAGTATTACAGTTGGAGTTGTAGGTCTTCCAAATGTAGGAAAATCTAGCGTTATTAATTCCTTGAAACGCAGCAAAGCATGTAATGTGGGAAATATACCAGGTATTTAATTATTTTTGCTATAAACAGCTTTTGCATCGACTGCATATCCCTTCTAACCTTTATGTCTTATTTTAATCATTGTATTATTGTAAAATTTGGAGTTATTTATTTTCTCCGAATTCTATGCATTTTTTTCATAATTATTTCCAAATGATATGAAACATTTTAGAGCAGTTTTGGATTGTATATATTAGTAATATATTTTATATGTATATGTATTAATGATTTAGCCTATTTACTATTACTTCCAGGAATAACAAAAACGATGCAAGTTGTTCAATTAGATTCTAAAATTAAGCTGCTAGATTCTCCCGGTATAGTGTTTGCTACATCAGATGAAAAATCTGATGACATGTCTGTAGCTCTAAAAAATGCAGTAAAGATTCAAGCATTGAAAGACCCTTTCACACCGGCAACTGCAATTTTAAAAAGAGTTTCACGACAACAGATAATGGAATTATATAATATGCAAGAATTTTCAACACCAGATGAATTTTTCGCGATGAAAGCAGCAAGGATGGGAAAATATAGGAAAGGTGGAGTACCTGACGGGCGTGCCGCTGCACGAAGTATTCTTGAGGATTGGAACTCCGGAAAAATTAGGTTTGTTACGTTCTACATATATGTGCACAAAAAATCGTATATATTCTTTTTTTTTATAAGATTTAAATTTTTTTGAAGATATTATACAGTGCCACCTGAACAACCGATATGTCATATATCTGCCGAGATTGTCAGTCAAATAGCTAAAGAATTTGACATTGAAAATTTTGCCACGGAGGAAAAAATGATGCTTGACAATTTTACGACAGATTCCACAAATAATCCCACTATCGCAGATCCTGTATTAATTGACAGTTCGGGGCCTGTTACAGCGGCAATGGAGATCGAAATCCAAAAAGAATCGGTAAAATGCAAATATATCAATAATTTAACATTATGTTACTATTATGTTATTTTACGTTGTTTTGAATTTATTTTGTGTAATAATTAATTGATATTTTCTCGTAGGAATTTAAAGTGCAGAAAAAATTAAAGAAAAAGTTGCAAGATACAAAGAAAGATGTATCTGCTGAGAGAAAGAAGAAACCAGATCCACTTTTTGAGATTGAAGGCAATCAAAAATTGAATAAGCTCAGAAAACTTAAATTCAAGAAAGAAAAGAAAGAACGAGCAAAAAGAGGTATGGGGAAAACAAAAAAAAAAAAAACAGTTTGTAACCTAAATGTTTAATATCAACTGGTTTGTAAATGTCATTGATTTTCAGAAAAAGCCACTGCTAAACTAGCGGGACAGCTTGAAGATTTCAAATTTACTACCGATGATTATGATTTCAATACAGATTTTGCAGCTACATAGGATATTATCAATGTTTATGCATTATATATTATGAATGTATATGTATACACATATATCTGTTATATGTGTTGTATAATGACGTATGTATGTGTAATATATATTCACACACTATAAAAAATAAATAATAAAGATTATTCTGTTAAATACAAGTACACCCCTATTTTCTCTCATAATATTGTTGCATTTTGTATTTTAGAAATTCACAATAAGTTATTGATTTTAAATTATCATTTTTAAAAAATTTAATAAATTTTAAAAAATCGCCCGAGTATTAAACGTATAAATTATGTAATAACGAATAATAACAGTAACACGCAAGAAATTATTCGCGCTTGAATGGATATATGCACACTAAATTAAATATACCTATATGTATACTTTTACAGTCGTTAATGTGTATATAATATTTCAATTTGTATTTATATATAATGTATAAACAATTTACATGTTATTTCACATCTTCCTTGTATTTAAATAATAATATTTTACTAAAATGATTACAATTATCTGTACTGACAATGAGTTATTTTTAAAGATAAAAGCAGGAAGTATAATCAAAATAATACGAATATAATGAAAGCGTGCACATAAAAACAAGATAAGAAAAGATATAGGAAAGAAAAATGCGACAAACTATCTACAACACACTGAAAATCGACAATGCAGTATATGTTTTGGGTACTTAGCTTCCCCTTCAGGATAAACCTTCCAGGTACTGAATTGTAATTTATTTTATTAGAATATTAGAGAACATTACAAGCGTACGCGCCATTTGTCGTACCACATTTGATTTTCTTTGTATATTGTATGCAAATACATTAATATATGATATATCGTTTTATATTAGCCAATATATTTTATAATAGTCAATATATTTTAAATTTATATCGACATAAAATAATAATAATAATCCATATTTTTAGTTTTTGGTCTGTATGTTTAATATATATACGGTTTTATTACAGTTTTTAATAATTTTTTTAATCTAGACCCCAAATAGATTTTTTACTTGGGGCTTGTCAGAAATTAATTATTAATTAGTCGATCGATTGTTATTCGTAATGCAAAATTATATTCGAATACAAGAAATGTACGCAAAAATCGTTAAGAAAATAGTTATCGCTTGTATAAATATATCATAAGCGATAATTTATAATTTTAATACTCTATCATATTGATTGCTATTTCAAATGAATAAATTGTTATTGCTTTGACACGAATCTCTAGGAATCTTTAATTGTGGAGTTAATTGTACGGACTGTCCGCTATCGCTATTTGAAAATTATCGTGTTTTGAGAGAATGTACATGAAGTGTTTTCTGCTATACTATCTGCCAACTCAAGTCTCGCCGCTCGAATGACAAAACGGCGGATTTACGTACGGTGTGTGCCAGTCGATTTATTATCACTCCAAGAGAAAGAGAGACAGAGAGAAATATTATTTTCCATGTCAAATATATAATGCTTTATAAAATAATTTTACATCTAATGTTATGTTCTTCGCATTTTTAATTGATTATAATTAATAATTTCAATTTTCAATTGATTACACAGTTCAACAAAGAAAACACATATTCAGTATCAAAAGGACTATGGAAAACGGTTAGCTTTTTCTTGTGTTCGAAAAAAAGACTATCTTTTGTTGAACTATGCTATTAATAAACGGTATATCACAATTTTTTATAATCTAAAATCTAAATTATTCGATTTGGCAGTTTATGTATTATCCCACGCTTTATATATCAATCGTTTTTTATTACCTGAATTAATCAATCCATCGATTCGTGTGTTATTTTGTTCTCTCAATCTAAAAATAATAAAAATAATAAAAATTACATATTGACGAAAATTCTGAAATGTGATGCGAGATATATTCAAATTGTTATAATATCACAATATAAAAAATAATAATACACACACATATATATATATATATATACACACACACACACACACACACACACACACATATAAGATCTTTTTTGTTTTTTTTTTTAATTGAGTAGTCGATATCATTTGTAATACAAAGTTTATTTTAAAATCATTTATACACATATACATATATATTATGCTATTATCTGATAATGTTAATTTGCAGAAAAGAAAATGTGTGTTGTACATTGATAAGGAATAGATAAAGCTTGCAATTGAGCTATTTTCCATGCAATACATGTGAGTTAACTATTGCAAAAAATACGTTTATAAAAAACAATACTAAATGAGGAAACTGGTAACGTTTATAAAAAAAATTATTAGTTATTATAATATTATTAATTATAAAATGTACAGAATACTGTTTATACATAATTAAATAATAAAATATACAGAAATATATTTTTATATATAATTTTTGATTGTTTCATGTTTTACATATTACAAATCAACTTACATTCAACTAGAATATTATAGAAACTTATTTATTTATTAAATAAATTATATGTTAAATAAATGTATTGTGTTTAAATAATATAATTTAAAATAAAAGACAAGTGCAGCGCATAAAATTATTTTCACATTTTACTTTTTGTTGTTCTACAGTTTATATTTATATTTATATTTACACACACATAAACTATTATTTTATATTTTTTGCTCCATTTAAAATCGAGCAATAATTGTAGTATCCGCAACAGATATCCGCACTAAGCAATTAAAAAGCGTGTGCTCTTAAGATAAAACTAGAGTAATCAGGATGGACTAAAAAAAACGCTTGTACAAACGAGATAACCGGAAAAGATGATAACATATTTTCATTAATGCGACAACACAGTGCGTTATCCTCTGCTTGTATGTAGTGAGGTGATGATAATGTTTTAGTTATATTAAACTCAAGCCACTCGATCGATAGTAGCCGATCTGTGAACAACGGATAGAGACCGAGAATAAATGTTGAGAATCTTCCGTTTCCGCGACGTTTGGGCCAAGTGTTATTCAACACGGACATATGTGCAAAAAAGTGGAGAAGTTGAAGTGGATTTAAAAAAAGCAATGGAAAAATTGCCACGTATTAAGCCGCCAGGCCAACCACCCAAAATTTGGAAATCGATCGAAAAAGTGACCAAGGATGGCAAACCAATGAAATTTACGATTCAGGAGATTCCTGAAGACAGGTATGAAGATGCAGTTCAACATATGTGTGCGTACTTTTTGGCCGATGAACCGACGTGTCAATGTTTGAGTAAGTTTCATCAAGATATTTTCTTTATTTGCTTTTTTTCGATAATGTAAATAACAATTTTTTTCTGTTTGCAAATTTAATATGAAAAGAACTGTAATTATAAAAAATTAGTCTCATAAAAGTTATTTTTTAATAATATTAAAAATAAAAAATATATTTCTTTATATATAAATTATATTTACTTATGATATCTTTTTATGCAAACTCGGGGCAAAATGATTATTTTCTATTTTATATTGGATTCTTGTGATTTTTTGTTTATTATATTTATAGATTCGAAAGATGATCCTGTATTCGTGCAAGATATAAGTACAATATGGCGTCTAATATTCGCAGAAGGCATATCCATAGCTGCCTTCACTGAAAATCCCAATGGCGGAAAACCTATAATCGCCGGTATGAATGCCTTGGGTCTTGATTTTAGAGATCATAAAGATAGTATTTCAGAGTACAAGGTAGGTATCCCGTTAATTTTTTTGAAAAATATATATTTTATTGTTGTAATAAGTATTTTTATCTTTTTATTTGGAAGTCACCATATCAACCCGTCATAAAAGCTTTATTCTAGACAATTATACAGTTCTGGTTTGATATTTTATTAGAAAAGCATTTTTTTTCTTTATTTAGAATATTAAGCATTATATTTCTGCACAACGTATAATTGCGTCGTACTAATGTAATTAAGTAATGATAATTTCTTATTACAGCTTAAATCACAAAACTGCAGAAATACATTCGCAATCATATCTGATGCAACTAAAATAGTATACGAACATTATGGAGTAGACAAGTATCTGTATGCTATCGGACTTAGTGTAGACCCCGCTTATCGAGGATATGGCTTAGGAAAAGATATTCTAAAAATCAGGTATGGTTTATGTTGAAATATTATGTTATTCTATCAGATCACATTATATAATATAAATGAATGAATAAAAGAAAGATTTTGGCTTATCTGCTCTCTTAGAACAATCTAAATCAAAAAGAGATTTAAACTATTATTTTAGGCATAAACTTTCATTCTATCTAGTACTAAAAATATACTACTTTTCTAATCTTATCTATATCGCTCTTGATAGCGCAATTATTTTATACTTTCGGTCTTTAGTTAGATTCTTTTCGGTCTAAAATTGATCATTGACTTAGAGCCGCTATAATTTTTAATTTCTGTAAATTTTTAATTAAAAAGAAAACCTGAATAAAAGTCAAAATTAATTTCGCTATTAAGAATGATTTTAAAATTATAGAGAGTGGTTTGTTTTTACTATAAGCATTTTTTATCACATGAAGAGTACGAGTAAGATACAAATATCTAAGATATTTGTATTGGTTTGAATATTTTTACTTATAATGTACACTTTTACAAAAATGATTTAAATTATTAAGTTTATTTTGAGTCATACATAGTATTATAGACATAATCTTTTTTAATATATACATGTAATTTTTGAGATTTTTTATTATAAATGATATCATCTAGTAAATTTTATAAATGTTTTTTTCGAAATGTTACATAATATCAAATTTTATATATAAAAAACATCCAATTCTTTCAGAATAAAGTCTAAACACAATTGAATAAATAATATAAGATTTTATTATCTATTTGTATTCTTCGTATGCGATTAAATTGCCAAAGTTTTCAATATATCACTCAACACATATATAATTTTATTAATTTAACTTTTTCTATTCATTAGTTTCATTTTTTCATGTACATTCATTAATGTCTTGCATGATCTCGATCTAGGGATCTCATTGGCCGTGAGTATAATATTCCGGCAACAGCCACGGTTTTCACATCGATAATCTCGCAAAAATCAGCGAAGGGTGCAGGATTCGAACTATTGACGTCGAAAAATTTTGTCGACATAGTGGACGAAAATGGGAAGGAATATTTCCCTGGTATTAAATCCAAAACATTTGAAGTTATGGGAAAAAGATTATCTTAATGTAGTTCTGCGCGTTCAAGGCAACACGCAATTACACGCAATTATATAAAGTGAACAAACAAAGGAAACTGGGCAAATTAAGAGCCGAGCGCGGTTAAATTTGCGCAAATATTCAATTATTTATTCCGATAAATTTTGTCCGGTAAATTTCGTACGTTTCGGTCCTGATATCGGACCATCTTCAGCGAATGCTGTACAAATAAACAAAGAAACAAAACATGTGGATCAAAGATTACATGAACAAAAAAACATACGGCGGTTACATACATGTTAATTAAAGTGTGCGCATATCTCGAGTCACGGCCTACAGTGTCGATGGGGAAATGAGATGAATCTCCCTCCGGTGCCAGCCGTGAAGGAAGAAAGTCACGTGAAGGACCATTCTATTTCCTCCTTATTTCTGAGAGCTGCTGTGACACATGTATAGAGATGTTAAAATGAAATCTAATAGCGTCGGAGATAAACGGAGGCGATTCACCTCAACATCGAGAACACTGCGAGCTAGTGAGAATAAGACACAACTGTCGGTTGTTAGATAAAACTCGCGTATGACAGTGTCAAATATAAAATCAATAGTTTGCGCGTGACATTGTAACAAATAAACAAATAATAAATAATAAATATAGACACATAATAAATATAGACTATCCAAAAGAACAGAAAAATAAGCGTCTGTGACGTATCAACGCGCGCTGAATTTAGATTTTTTAATTCTTGGTAGATTTTCTACAATCGTAGTATACGCCTGATGTAAACTCTCCGTGTCGCTCTGGAGATTTAAACTTTTAGTTTGTCGTTTTATAAAAATCATCTCCGACATCAAACGTTTCCCATATATGTGTTCTTCATCCAAGACTTCCACGTCATCCCATTCAAAATCGTGATTAATTAACCTGTGGTCCGTGATGACAGAATGTTGTGTGGTTCTTCTTCTGATGTGGTTCCGATGTTCCGCCACTCGAGTTTTTAGAACTCTGCTTGTCTGGCCGACATAAGATGCATCGCAGTCCTTACAGGAGATTTTGTAGACTACGTTGCTACGTAGTTCTTTGGACAGATTGTCTTTATGCACGCGAATAAATTTGCGCAATTTATTCATGCCGGTATATGATAATTTGATCTGTAAATCACGGACCACAGACCTGAATCGTTCTGAAATAGTTGGGACGTATGGGATGTTAAAAGAACGACGCCTCAACAATCTCTTTATTCAGAGGGGAGAGTCTGGGTGGACAATTGGTATATTTATTTATTATGAGAGTGATTTTGTTGCGGATAGACAAACGTGTGTTTTCTGGAAGTTTGCGAATATTATTCTCCACGCACTTCATGAACTGCATCGTAAAGTGTTCCTTTTTATTCGTAGGCAGACAAAAATTATTTCCAAGTTGTAAAAGTCCTTGAACTTCAGGTGAAATATGCGTGGAGGATAGATTCACAAACCATTTGTTCTGAATGTGCAGAGGGGAGGGAGAGGGGTCCGGGAAAATAGAGTATAATATTGATTCAATATTTTTTTTTTTAAATACGATAAATTTTTCAGCTTATGTTTTTGCTTATCTTCGGTAATACAATTTATGGTAATTATTTAGAATCACGGCTCCATCTGCAAATGGGCTGCAAATTTTTTTACGGACTTTTTATGTTTAGAAAGAAATATAAATAACCATTTTCAGTTGGGGGAGGCCCAAAAAAAAAGTTATAGACCAAAAAGTGAGAATAAGACACAACTGTCGGTTGTTAGATAAAACTCGCGTATGACAGTGTCAAATATAAAATCAATAGTTTGCGCGTGACATTGTAACAAATAAACAAATAATAAATAATAAATATAGACACATAATAAATATAGACTATCCAAAAGAACAGAAAAATAAGCGTCTGTGACGTATCAACGCGCGCTGAATTTAGATTTTTTAATTCTTGGTAGATTTTCTACAATCGTAGTATACGCCTGATGTAAACTCTCCGTATCGCTCTGGAAATTTAAACTTTTAGTTTGTCGTTTTATAAAAATCATCTCCGACATCAAACGTTTCCCATATATGTGTTCTTCATCCAAGACTTCCACGTCAACTCATTCAAAATCGTGATTAATTAACCTGTGGTCCGTGATGACAGAATGTTGTGTGGTTCTTCTTCTGTTGTGGTTCCGATGTTTCGCCACTCGAGTTTTTAGAAGTCTGCTTGTCTGGCCGACAAAATTTACCGGAATAAATAATTGAATATTTGCGCAAATGTAACCGCGCTCGGCTCTTAATTTGCCCAGTTTCCTTTGTTTGTTCTTCGAGAGAGCCTTTATTTTATATATATAAAGTGAGTCACCTAATTTGCTAAACCGAACTAATTATTATAATTTTTGCGAGTTGTTTAATATTCTTTATATATACCATCATGTGACCACATAAATACCACCATTTATATTTTATATATATCACCATGTAATTGCATAAAATAAAAAATAATAATAAAAAAATCTTTTTCGATATTTCCAGTATGTATATTTAACACATTATTATCAGTCTTTTACAGCACATTGATATTTAATCGTACTTCCGTTCCGATAAATAGCAGCATTCGCGGTAATTACAAATGCATTTGAAATACATAGATGTTACAAAATGTTAATGGCATACCATTGCATATACGCCGCAAAATGTGTGGGTTGTATGTTACGCTATCACGTTGGAATATGCCAAGAAATTTATGATACCATGTCGACCACCGCGTGGCTAGAATTTTATGATCGTGATCTATTAATGGTGTCTACAAAAAACAATCTAATTTAGATATCATACGAGATAATATATACATTTCCCACTGGACATAATTGTATTATAATACTAGACTATTAGTTTTTTTAAATTTAACACAGAATTGTTACGATTTTACTTTCCAAACTATAAATTCAATTCTCCATCATTCTTCATTATATTTTGCTTAAATATATACTATGTATTATAAAATCTATTTTATAGATTGTCATGAAACACGAAATGTACTTGCATGCAGAAATAAATAATTTTGTGTTGTAAGAGCAATGGGACGAAATATCTCACATTACATTTGATTATTTAACGAATTAAGTTCGTCACAGTTAATTTCGCGGAATTCGAAGCAAATAATTCATCGAGAATGAAATGACTGTAAAGTGAAGCATAGACTGTCAATCGATATTCAATTGACAGGAATTATATTGAGAAAATTATATCGCAAAATTTAATAACGCTATTTTTGCGTGAAGACTTGATTAAGAAAAATAGTTTGCTCTAAATCTCCGATTTGATATTAATATAATATTAATATAATTCATAGGACATTGGATTCGAATAGATTGTAAGAATAATCTTCGATAATTCGCAAAGTTAATTAACATTCGGAATGAGATTTCACGATATCAAATGCTTCTAAAACCTTGAAAACATTGAAATTGCAACTGATCAGAATTGACCTTTTGGTTTAAAGTGAACCAATCGAAATTAAGGGAGATAACGACAAACTTAATAACATTCAACCACTTGTTGACACAGTTATATTCAGTATCGGCCAATTACACGCATATTTGTTACTATTCGCTAGATACTTCCGCTGAGATACAATTGCAACAAATACATATTTCATTTCATGAAACAATGCTGCAGAGATATATGTCAACATACAAAATTCCATCTCTTCAATATTTTTTTACTTTTTTTAGCTCTGTCTCAATGCTTTTCAATTTAATATTGTTATTTGTAAATAATTGAGTGTAATACGTTAATATTGTATGCAATGTTTTGTGTGTATATTTTTTTATTTTTTTGATTATATTTATATAAATACTAAAGAAGCAGGATTAAGAGAGAAATATATATAAAAACATTAATTATAAATCTTCATAAAACAATATTAATTTCTGCTATGTTATGTGACATATCACGCATTAAATATAAAATATAAATTAAATATAAAATTAACCAAACTACAATGCAATGATTTTATTAAATCTCCGAAACAATAATTCTAAGCAAACTCTTCTTTTTATCCTAATTATTTGCAAAATTCCGTACTTTTATAAGCATCAGAGATATTTAGATAAATCTAAATTTTTTTACTTTATATAAATTACATCTTTTACTATAATGTTAACTTATACTGTACATTACTACGTGCTTCAAATATATTTACATAAAATTAAATATTATATAATATTACTCTCGAATAAAATCATTTCCTGAATAAGAAATTTAATGTCAATTTCAATAAATTATACATCAGCCAAACGTATCTCAAAATAATGCGAAAGTTACGGTCTCGTGCGTCGTACTTGAACTTTATGATATTAATACATTACAGAGATGTATATAATTCTATTTTTTTGTACGGGAGGGTAAATTTGCAAGAACCCTTTGACACGTGCGCGAGCGTGGGCGCGTGCGAGCGCGACGCCACGTCGTGTGCCGGTAATTCCTTCTCTCGCATCGGCTCCCGACGCGCCTTCAGTCGCGTTCCGCGCGTCGTACGAGCGAGTGTGTTTTTGCTCGCATCCTCTCCGGATTGGAGATCATTCTATCCTTTACTTATCCGTCTATCCGGAAGATATGTTCAACGGGAATGTGTGACGTAAACGGAAACTTGAGACTAAACGGACAAACCTACATAAACGAAATAAACGAGCGTAAAGCGAGCTGAATAATCGTCAGCGGAACGTATGTTAAACGTCACATAAAACTCGATTTTTACAAAAAATTATCGTCATTTTGATACATTTGATAAAATCAACGATGAATCGATCGCCGTCCTTTGTTGAAAGAGCGACCCTGACCGGGTTTGCTGTCCGCTTGTTTCGTGTTCCGTTGTCGCGAAACATATCTACATTCGAAATTGTGTTTTCGCAATGATGTTCGAGGGAGATGATTCTTCATCAAGTAATCCGCATATCTCTCTATGTTCGAAACATAGCCGCGGTGAATTTCCCATGACATATGGGAATTCGAATTGAACACAAGCGTGCCGATTTCATGGATATATCCCTGCTTTAAAATAAATTACACTCGGGGGAGCAGCGTAACCTGTTGCCGAATACGATATCGAGACATTTTCAATGGCCGGAAGATCATTCTTCATCGTTGTTTCATGTAAGGGTTACTTTTCTCCCCCTTTAAACTGAACGCTGCATTTCATCCCTAATTGCCGCGATTTTTCGGGTGTGTTATAAGCAAGATTAAGTAAATTTACTTTTTTATAATGTCGTTGTATATAAGATTAATACTGTCGACTAATAGTGTCAACAGTTATTTTGTTCTCAGATATTTTGAGTATCAGGTGTAATGTGATAGTTTACTTGAAATATGTGTAACTCATCTATTTTCAGACTGGCTGATGCTATTTAAAAAAATATTATATTAGGATTATTTTACGATTAATATGAATATCCAGTAATTCAAATTGATAATTAATTAATATATTCACTGACAATAAAAATCTGGCGATACGAGATTAATGTTATGATAAGATTAAAGAATTACAT